AATTTTTGGAACATTCAAAGTCCACACATGCGCTGGGTCGCGTCGGTGATGCAAAGGAAGTGGCCGATGCCATTATTTTCTTAGCCAGTGACAGTTCGAGTTTCATAACGGGCGCAAATCTGCCGATCGATGGTGGCAGGCAATTAATGTGTCCGCGTTGATTTACAATTTAAATGTTATTTATGAACGAATAGTAATAATAATTAATTAATATTTATTTTCTTGTGACTTCTATTCAGTTTTAAATTCACCAGCTGTTTCGCCAGATTTTAGTAATGACGTCTACTTGTCACTTTCACTTTACTAAATCTTCTCCAAGCAGACACTCTGACTTTATATACGGATTTGCAGTCATGCATTTAGTTCAACTGTATATTTCTCATAATTAACTTATAATAGTATATCATCACCTGAAATGCAAAATAACGTATCATCAAAAAATTCGAAATTTAGTGTGTTATTGATTACGCTTCACTACTTCAAATTACATACATAATATCACATATGTTCAACATTTTCAGATTCTGCGTTCAGATATAAAACAGTTTTAACCAATATTAAAATTTTGCTTCATATATGTTTCATTTTATTTCGTTTTTCGTTCATGCCACTGTAAATTTCCGAAAATGTTGTTACGTTATTTTGCATTTCAGGTGACGATATGTGAATTTACAATGTTCTCTCTTATTTATAATTTCATCGCCACTGTGATCGGACCACACTTTGTAACCTTGGCAACATTTTTTAAGGTTAGGATTTATAAACACCGAAAAATATTTCCACCCTTTTGACACTTAATTGTGCGAGTATGAAATGTTCGGATACTCGTATATAACATATCGGGATTATGAAGAATAAGTCCACCAGTTAATTGGAAATTATTGTACAATAATAAAAAAAGCTAGACCAAATTCATTCAGTTGCAACGGAAAGGGAAAGTTGAAAATCACAAATTTGGTTTGAGATCTTATCAAAAAGTTTCGCGCATTTTATATTTCTTCAGAGTGATTACTCCAGCGTTTTTTTTTTTTTTTCCAATTCTCAAAGCGCCAAAAAATTACATTTTTGTTGATCTTGTTTAGTTTCTCCTACGATGCAGTTTCTAGCTTTGGAATCGTAGCATCCCGGATCCTTTCATGAACCTCTTAAGTTTTTGGGAACAAACCTGAGGGACTGGTTTGAAGAATTCGATGGCTGCGGCACCATTAATGTGTGAGTGAACAACAGGGCGTTATCAAAACAAGCCAAAGGCTCTTTCACAAATCCGAACTTTCTGGCTAATTGCATTAGCGCAAATTGCGCAGAACTTGCAGATAATTTTATTTATTGTTTTTCAGTTCATAATTCAAGTCAATCGTCAAATCATAGAAAAAAATCTAGACCGATTTTAGTACATTGCAACGCTGAACCACACCATATTTAGGAAATATTTTCTATATTTGTGCAAAATTTGCTCCGGTATCGGATGTCTGTCAATTGGACTTCGGATAAAATGATGGGCCATATTTCATCCATTGTCTCATATTGACGAAAAAAATCGGATTTATTACGCTTGAGCATCTCCACATATTACTCCGAATCACCAACTCATCATTGTTTTTGTTCAAGAGTGAGCCCACGCGACACCCACTTTGTACAGAGCTTTCTTATCCCCAAATATTCGTGAATAGTATAATGAACACAATTAGTCGACATCTTCAAAATTTCTGCTATCTCGAACAACTACACTTTTCGGTCCTCCCAAATTTCTTTTGGACTTTTTTGATTTTTTCTTCCGTAGCAATCTCTTTTGAACGTCCATTGCGTTCATCGTCGTCGGTGTCTAATTTACTTAGCCTAAACTTAATATACCACCACTTGATGGTTGATTTTCCTCGAGCACTGGCCGAAACTCGTCATCAAGCCATTTTTTCACTCCACTAGATATTTTACTACAAAAAGCAATATTTTATCAACACGTGGAATTCCTTTTTACCCACTTTTTCACAATTGGCATATAAAGTGGAACCTATAGCTGGATCAACGAGAATGTACAACAAGAGAGTATAGAAAACAATTGTAGAGACCATAGTCTTCACCACTAAAGCACAGTGGAGGACCAGGATCAAGATGGATTGACGAACTCGAGGTAGATATGAAGAAGATTGAGATAGAAAATTAGTAAGAAACCGCCAATAACCAAAGTAGCTGAAGGAAACATATGCAGCAGACCAAAACACACGAGAAACTTTAGCGCCAAAATATTATGATCAGACATAATTTTATATTTTGAGATCCAATTAAAGTATGCTTTTAATTTTATAATTTATTAAAATAATCTAATGGATCGTGATTCTCCGCGAGCCATGATATGACTGCCAGGGATATCTGTGTTAATTGTCACATCAAAATATTCATTAGTGTGTAGTATACAATCGTCTTTCTGAAGGACATAAAGTGCATTCGGCGATTTTTGCGATGAGTAATATTAGTATTTTACAAAGAACATCCATTATATTTTGGTTGCTGAATAAATTGAGGGTTCGGAATCAAATTGCTGTTGCCGAAACCTTCAGAATGTTGGAACAGGTCTTCGGTGATAATTCTTTGTCGCTGGAAAGTGTTTCTGATTGGTATAAATTATTGAAAGAGGGTCGAGAATGCGTTGACGGCGACGACGACCAAAACGGGCATCGACCACAACTGAACAACATGTGACTAAAAGAAGAGGAATTGGTGCTTGAGCGTCGACCATTAACAGTTATAGATCTTATTTGCATAATTTTAGTAGCGGAGAAAATTATGTTGAAAGATTTTTTGGTCTTAAGAAAGTTAAATCATGATTGGTTCCAAAATCAATATTTTTATTTTTTTTTCGAAAAACAGCATCTCGTTTACCGGGATGTCGTGAAGCGTATATATTGTCTATACTTGCGATCCGGACACAGACAATCAATCCGCCGAATATCGTAGCAAAGGTGAGCCAAAGCCGAAAAAATCACGACAAATCAGGTAAAAATTAAAAGGTTTGGGGGACTCCGAATTCCTTCCGACCAGCCTAACTGTCAACAAGGAATACAATTGGAGTGTTGTGCGTCGTTTGCGCGAAGGTTTTCTTAATAGAGGCCGAAAATATGGGCCGACTACTCTTGCTTTTTGCAACACGGTTGCATGCTGCATTGATTTTTCGAGACTTTTTCCACAATTTTTTTTACAAATTGTCGTACTGCAAGCAGCGTATTTGTCTGATTCAGCTCCGTGTGACTTCTAACTACCCAGCATACTTAAACTATCGCTCCTGGGAAACCGTTTTGATTCAATTGAAGGCTGTTCCAAAAACTGACTTTAGCAACTGTTTCGAAGATTAGAAAAAACGTTGGCACAAATGTTTTGTGGTAAAGAAAGACTACTTTGAGGGAGACGACATAGATTTAGAAAAATAAATTAAGAATTTTAAAATTATGAGCGATGTCTTACAATTCTTGCTCATATTATTATTTCTGGCTTTGAGAGATAAAGTAAAAAAGGTAACATTTCACCGCTGTGAGTATTCATCATTATTTCTCTACTCGCTATTTTTGCCCGCAGTTTTCTTGTCAAAAAATATACATGTGAAAGCAATAACAAAGTTATCGAGTTGATACAACAGCGAGTGTGGTTACCGCAATAAATATCGGCTATTTTCAATGCTACCAAGTTAACGCAATCTAGAGCAGATCTACCATTGTGAATGGCTCAATTACCTAAGCACTTTTTTTAAAATGAGAACATAAACATTATTATTTTTTAATATAAAACTTCGCATAAATTATAGTTACTTCTGGAAAATACTAGACTCGTAACTCAGAAGTTATTAAAACTTTTTTTTGGAGAGAAGAAATTTTACATCAAAGAAAGAAAATAATTCAATGCTAGATAAGAGCTTTATAAAGGGCGCCGTGGGGTTGACTTTCTGACACCTGTTGGTTTAAAAAGAAAATTAATGAAGCAAAACCTTATTGCTCACTATCTGACACCAGAGTAAACAATTATTTACATGTAAGTATATCTACATACATATGTACATATGTATATATGTATCTGTTCACACTTTTCGGTGAAATTACCACCACACACGCTTTAATATCGTTCTCTCGCACTGAGAGGCATTTAGCTTGTAGTTGTTAATAGAAAACTGTGCGTAAGAGGTTTAGGTATGTTTTTTCGAGTTTATATTGTTTTTTTGCTGAACAGGTTAGTCATTTTTGAATGTTTAGTTCATTTTGACAGCTCTTTTGCTTGGGAACGTATTTGTTCGCCTTCTGTTTTGTTGCAAAAATTGCTCAATTTCGACTAAAAGTAGCGCCGCATTGACATTGGTCAAAATATGCTGGACTCAGTTCGCGATGAAACAGATTTGCTCCATAGAGTAATAACTGGTGATGAATCATGGATTTATGGTTAAGACATGAAAATCAAAGCTTAATCATTCCAATGGAAGCTGCCTCATGAACCAGGTCGAATGTGAATTTGATATTGCTAACAGTTTTCTGCGATTGCAGAGGCCTCGTTCAACATGGCTTACCAGATTAGATTAACCTATGTGTAAATGTAAAATTACATGAAAGCAGTCCAAAATTTCTATTGTTTTTTCGAACTGCGGCTTGACTTTATACTGTATATATTAGATCATATCAATTATATTATAAAGAAATTAAATTAATATGTTATATATATGTTTATCGATCTGGACCGATAACCTTGGTCTTGCTGTTAGTTTCATTCTGCTGCTCTACACTGCTGCTAACATCTTTTTGCTTCATTGGAGCTAACAGCAATGGAAGAATATCCAACATATTCCATTGAAAGTTGATAATTAACATTTTATTTCGCTGCCAGAATAAACAAAATGTTAATTTACGCTCTCAACTTCTAATGGCATGAGAGTTATACAAATTTTAATCTCTCGCTAATTTTTGGCGACAAAAAAGTATAAATCAAGCGCGCAAACTGTCAAATCGTTTAATAAGTATCTACTAGAGGCAAAGCGTTCATCACTTGATTTTAATCAGCCACATAAGCAGTTTATTAACAAGAGTTGTTAGAGATAAAATTTGATTTTTACTTTCACAATTTATTAAAACAAATTAGTGTGGATGTGAATATAATATACAAGAAAGAGCGCAGCTGATCAAAAAGTTTGTATGTGTGGCACTTTTATATGCACGCGCTCATTATTTATCTTATCATTGAGCTAAAAAAATATGGCATTACATACCTATTTGAGGTGAAATAGCAAGCCACTTTGTTGGTATATAAATAACCGATTTACACACATCAACTCAGTTGTTAAAAGGCCGCGAGTTCGAATAGATTACCATGAGTTTAGCTGGTAAAGTTGTTATTGTAACCGGAGCAAGTTCCGGCATTGGTGCCGCCACAGCTGAGGAATTCGCCAAGCAAGGTTCCAAAGTGGTGCTCACAGGACGAAATGAGGCAAATCTGAAGGCTACTGAGGCAGCCTGTAAAGCGGCCAACAGCAAAGTGGAACTACTACTCATCACCGCCGATGTAACGACAGCTGCCGAGAAGATTATCAAAGGAACAATTGACAAGTTCGGACAGTTGGATGTGTTGGTGAATAATGCAGGTTATGGTGAAATGGGTTCAATCTTGGATATTAACGTCGATCAATTTGATCGTGTCATGAATACAAATTTACGTTCGGTCTTCCTGCTCACTAAATACGCCGCACCACATCTCGTGAAGACCCAAGGTAATATAGTGAATGTCTCCAGCTTAGCAGGATTGCGTTCGTTCCCTTTTTCTTCGGTCTATTGTACTTCCAAAGCAGCACTAGATCAATTCACTAGATGTATCGCCTTAGATTTGGCTCCGAAAAACGTGCGTGTGAATGCGGTAAATCCTGGTACGATTGTGACAGAATTCCATAAGCGTCTTGGCTTCTCGGATGAGGAAGATGCTAAATTTTTGGAGCATGCAAAGTCTACGCATGCCTTGGGTCGCGTCGGCGAACCGAAGGAAGTGGCTGATGCCATTATTTTCTTAGCCTGTGACAGTTCGAGCTTTATAACGGGCGCCACTCTGCCAATCGATGGTGGCAGACATGTCATGTGCCCACGGTAATATTTCTTAGAACAGTTAGATATATGATAATAAAAAAAAAAATGCCTTAAAATGGTTATGTGACTGTAGAAAAGGATATAAAAATTATGTAGAATAATAATAAATGCGTTTCTATTTTAACAGTTTGATCAATCAAATTAGAATTTTATTATAAATTTTATTTTGATAATATTATAAATGCAATAAATTTTAATGTTATTAACAAAAGTGTCAACAGCGGGAATCCTATTCCACCTTGCCGGCGCTAGCGATCGAGTTAGCAATATAATAAAAAAAAAAATTTGGAAATTTATGTATCTAAAACTTGATTCAATGACTTTACTATATCAACTTTTTATCAAGCCTGTTAGAATTACTAAAAAATAAAAAGAAAAATCTATGGCTTTCACCTCATTAAAAGACGCCCTCTGGGTAGTTACATTCATAACTTTATTTACCATTCTTTCTAACCCTTAAGGAGCTTTTTTAATTAACGTAAGCCATAGTAAAGTTAAATTTGCGCTAATTATCAGTTTGCATAGTTCTTTATTTTCATTATTGTTATCTAAAGCCTTAAGTTTTAATGCCTTTTTTGTTTTATGACGTTGAAAAAACGGTACATAAATAATTGGTGTTCAATTTCTAATTTTTTTATGGTAATACTGATAAACTTAAATAATAAGTTGATATGAAATCGTTAAATCAAGTCTTAAGTAAACAAATACTTATCACACTATTATTTATTTTCGCATTTCGACTAGTGACTGGCCTGAATCAATGCGACATTGTCCGCATAGACTTTAGACTTTACATATCGTCGCAAGAAAAAGTGTGTAAAAGTGTAAAAAAGTTGCAATGTGATATCACACGATCTTGGTGGCCAATTGACAGGCCCAAAATGTGAAGGTATCTACTCACCGAAGTGTTCACTCAATAAATCCATTGATTGAAGCGATGTTTTGGTGCAGTTTTGTTGAAACCAAGTGTCGCCGAGATCGCGGACTTCAATTTAAGGCATCAACTAGCCGGTTAATATGGCGCGATAGCGGTTACGTTTGCAGCGGCATAGTATTTGTAGAAATATAGACCGATGATTCCACCGACCCACAAACCACAGCAAAGCATTGTTTTTCCTTGAAGAAATAGCAGCTCTTGAATCACTTCTGGTTGCTCTTCGTCGCAAATACGGTAATTTTGGTTATTTACATACCCATTGATCCAGAATTGGAACATCGCTGGAATTGTTAGCCGCTGCCGCAAAACTTGGCTGGAAAAATACTCGTGTTCAAGTTCTTGGAACTTTTCAAGAGCGCATAGAGCGAAGCAATATAGCTTGGGAAAGCCGAGCGCCTTCAATTCTGCATAAGTAATTTTGTACTCTTTCAATTTAAGATCTCGACGTATAATGCGCCAGTCATTGAATAGAAAAAACTACCTATACTTGAATCACCCGTTGCCATAGTGACTTTCGATTTTTTACTTAACAACTTTCTCACATGCCCAGTATATTATATAAAATGCAGCGCCTTTGGTATTGTTTATAACACAAACACATATATCATGTGAGTTAATTAGCTTGATTTTAATATGCATATTTCGAACCAGCAAATAATGAAACTAAGTAAGCGTATGATCAAATATACAAATTATTAAAATACCAAATTTGATTGTAATCTTTTCATCCTTTCGTTGATCGAAGAATGTTGAGTTCTTTCGAAACATATTTTATTACAATATTTTGTACTTTCCAAATTGCGAAGGTACAAAATATTCAGTTACACCCGAGATTACCGCTTCTTTACTTCTCCGGCTTTAATTTATGCAAATGGTACGGTATAAAATGTTCGGTTATAACCGATTTAGACATTCCTTACTTACTAATTTAACAATTTTATACTTGTTAAACGATATGATTTATTGGTATTTTCCGTATCAGAGTCTGATCAAGATATGAACATATACTATAGTACTTCGAAATAGTGCAGCTGACCAAAAAGGTGTGAGGTGTGACATTTTATGCACCCGCTCAATATTTATCTTATCAACGAGCCCAAAAATATTAAATTATTAGTGGTGAAATAGCAAGTCAACATCAAGTCTATTTGTTGGTATATAAATAACCGATTTAGACACAGCAGTTCAGTTGTTACAACGCAGTGAGTTCGAATATGTAGATCACCATGAGTTTAGTGGGCAAAGTTGTAATTGTAACCGGAGCATGCTCCGCCACTGGTGCCGCCACAGCTGAGGAATTCACCAAGCAATGTTCCAAAGTGGTTCTCACAGGACGGAACGAAGCTAACTTGAAATCTACGGAAGCTGCCTGTAAAGCAGCCAACAGCAAAGTCGAACTACTACTCATCACCGCCGATGTAACGACAGACGCCGAGAAGATTATCAAAACAACAATTGACAAGTTCGGACATTTGGACGTGTTGCTGAATAATGCCGGTTTTGGTGAAGGAGGTTCAATTTTGGATATTAATGTCGATCAATTTGATCGCGTTATGAATACAAATTTACGTTCGGTCTTCCTGCTCACTAAATACGCCGCACTACATCTCGTGAAGACCCAAGAAAATATCGTGAATGTCTCCAGTATCGTAGGATTGCGTGCAAACCTTTTCCTTTCGGCACGTCTAAGGCAACATTGGATTAATTTACCAGTTGTATCGCCTTGGATTTGGCTCCGAAAAATGTGCGTGTGAATGCCGAAAATCCTGGCATGATTGTTGCAAAATTCTATCAGGGTTTTGGCATATCGGAAAAAGTTTATGTTAATTATGTTACATTTGGACCATTCCAATCCACACATGCGCTGGGTCGCGTCGGCGATGTTAAGGATTTTGCTGATGCCATTATTTTTCTAGCTAGTGACAGTTCGAACTTACTTACGGGCGCAACTCTGCCGATCGATGGTGGCAGACATGCCATGTGCCCGCGTTAATTTTCCTTAGAATAGATAGATATATAAAAATAAATAAAAAATATGATTTAAAATAATGTCTTTTGATTTGCTACGAAAATTATCAAGTTAAATTTTTGTTAAAGAATTTCTAAAAATCCGATTATATTTTACGCGCTATTAACAGCTGAGAAATTTTCTCTCACAATCTCATACAAAATAAAAGCAATTCTATGTTAAAATGCATCTGTTAAAACTTAGCGGAGAAATTTTCAACGAATATGCCTTGCCAATGGCTTTTCTGAGAGCCACCTAGTTTTGGAAAGAAAACTGAGCGGAGCAACGCTCAGAAAATGTAAATATTGTGTTGCTGATATGGTACAAAGCGAAATTGTATAGGTCATGAAATGAAAAGTCTTATGCAGCAGTGTGATTAAATTTGCGTACTCTCGCAAGATATTGCTTCAGTGTTTATATTTTGGTTAATCTAACGGTAGTTTGTAGAACTTAAAACTAATGGAGATATAGATATATAATTATTTATGTATACATCAGTAATCAGCATGGCGAGACAAGTTGAGTTCCGTTCTATCTGTTCGTCCGTCTGTACTTTCATGCAAAGTAAGAATGTAGATATCTTGACATACCATCTTGACATACCATCTTGAAGTACCAAAAAAGTAGGTATTGTAGAAGATAGTTAAAAGTATTGTAGATTAACCGAAACCAGATCACTGCCACGCCCACAAAATACCTTTAACTTATAACCTTGCATAACTAAGCCGAAATTAAGTTAAATAAAAATAACTTTAACTTCTACTGCACCGAATTTATGGTACTCATCACAAATAAAAAAAGTTTTCGTTACAAAAACTAAATTTTGATAGGAGATTTTTTACCATATATGCAGCTATATGTTATAGTAATTTCACATATCACATGAAACAAAAAAGTCTCGTAGGAACTGGTGTCAAAATTTGACAATTGACGTGACCACCTTAGTTGAATTCATATATCCCAGAAATTACTCGACCAATTTATTCCAAATTTGCTACGTAACAATATTATTCTGAGATTTTTTTATAAACTGTCCTAAAAGTGGGTGAAGCTCACCAGATACAGCCACTACTACTTTTTACATATCATCATATATTCTTTAAATCTTTCAGTTTATAGCGTATAAATTGAAATTAACCATTACGTAAATAGTGCCTTTAAAGTATGCCCTCTCAGGTTTATAATTTATCGATAAGTTTTCAAGTCCCCAAATATCGAATATTCGGCGAAAAGTGTTTTTGTCAGACTTTATAGCGTGTTTACCAGCCAATGTGCGAACTATGTCGGGTAGTCGAAAAAGTCTTTTCGTATTTTGTCAATTGACATCGTTGCAGTCGTATATATCCAGTGCTACCAATCACATTGTGTCATATCAAACAGTGTTGGAAAGGGGAGATTTTAAGCTTCTTTTGACCAAAAAATTAAATTCGGAGAAGTTGAAAAAAAGTTACAGCTCTTCAAAAATTAAATTGAAAATGATGAAGAAATGCGCTATATTTTGAAATTTTTGTATAAAAAAAGGGAAGAATGCCACGCAAGCCACCAATGGAATTTAAAATTTTGTTTACGGAGACGATGTTGTATCAGTCGCTCGCTTTCGTTCTGGAAATTTCGACGTGAAAGATGTACCTACTTTTTATCGACCTATCGCTGAAAAAGTCGGAGAAATGATGGAAAAGATTGACCAGGCCCGTCACATAAGCAGGCATAACAGCGCCAAAGAACTTAACATTCATCGTCAAACAGTTTTGAACCATTTTAAAAAGGCTGGCTATAAAAAGAAGCTCGATTTATGAGGACCACATGGATTGTATCTGAAAAATTTAATGGACCGAATTAACATCTGCGATTCTTTGTTGATACGAAATGAAATCAAACAATTTCTGAAGCCTCTTGACGCCTCGAAAGATTATACTGAGTGTTTGATGAAATTGGAAAGGAATCATCCACTATGAACAGCTCCAGCCTGGTCGAACGATTGATTCTACATTTTACTGTCAATAACTGATGAGATTGAAAAAAGTAATCGAAAATAACGACCAGAACTGATCAAAAGAAAGTACCCAATCCATTACCAGAACTGATCAAAAGAAAGTACCCAATCCATTCAACTGTCAAAGTCGGGTAGGTAAATTGCTCTCTCATTTCCAATGACATTACAGTTGGACATCCCTTTAAGAGTTTATATAGTTGTCAGTTCAAAGTAAATGTTCATTTAGTTCCAATGACATGACAGTTATACATATTCTTATATCTGTCTAAGAGTTATCAGAGACAATATTAAAGATATATCTTTCTCTTCACAATACATTAGAATAATATATTATGCTTCGGTCCTCAAGTGCTCCCCATGATATGAATATTAATTTCCAAGTAGTGCAGTCATTCTTTACTATTTCTAAAGAACATAAATAAACGAAAAAGCTAATAAGAGATCATCTCTCTTTGCAAACATTTCCCTCTTCGAGATAGAACGCTAAAAAAATAAAATATCTTCTCTGTGAGTATATGAGACGTCAATACCTCATTCTATACCCATGCAAGTTCTTTGCGAATTCTCCAGTTTACATCAAATACTCGTCGAGTTTTAGACTTCGTATAAATATATTATAATATTTTTATAATATTCATTTATGGAAAACTATGTCAAGTGCTACTGACTTAAAACACTCTCTATCTTATCAATGCAAAAGAGTATGGGATTATTAGTGGTGAAATAGCAAACCACTTTGTGTGTATTTAAATAGCCGTGTTAAACAWAGCAATGCAGTTGTTACAACGCAGTGAGCTTGAATAGATCGCAATGAGTTTAGCTGGTAAAGTTGTTATTGTAACCGGAGCGAGTTCTGGCATCGGAGCCGCCGCAGCTAAGGCCTTTGCCCAGCACGGTTCCAAAGTGGTGATCACAGGGCGAAATGTAGAGAACTTAAAAGCTACCGAAGCTGCCTGTAAAGCTGCCAACAGCAAAGTGGAACTATTACTCATCGCCGCCGATGTTACGGCAGACGCTGAGAAGATTATTAAGAAAACAATTGACAAGTTCGGACAGTTGGACGTGTTGGTGAATAACGCCGGTTTTGGTGAAACGGATTCAATCCTGGATATTGACGTCGAGCAATTTGATCGTGTGATGAATACAAATGTGCGTTCGGTCTTCCTGCTCACCAAATATGCCGCACCTCATCTCGTGAAGACACAAGGTAATATCGTGAATGTCTCCAGCGTAGCAGGATTGCGTTCGTTCCCTAATATTTCGGTCTACTGCACTTCCAAAGCGGCATTGGATCAATTCACCAGATGTATCGCCTTGGATTTGGCGCCGAAAAACGTACGTGTGAATGCGGTAAATCCTGGAGTTATCATAACAGGGTTCCATAAGCGCTTAGGGATGTCGGAAGCAGATTATGCTAAATATTTGGAGCACTCGAAGTCGACGCATGCACTGGGTCGCGTCGGCGAACCGAAGGAAGTGGCTGATGCCATTATTTTCCTTGCTAGTGACAGTTCAAGCTTCATAACGGGCGCAACCCTGCCGATCGATGGTGGCAAACACGCCATGTGCCCACGTTAATATTACTTACAAAAATAATTTAATAATTTTTGACAAAATACCTATATAAATATATATAATATATAAATGTGCTCTAAAATAATTATATGACTCTTGATTTGTTGTGGAACTTATTAAGTCTAAAAAGTAATTGCTGTTTGCACTTGAGACTAATACCTACCAATAAGCAAACATATCCAATACCATATAGATATGATAATACTTATGGTACCGGCTTTAGTTTTGCCAGATGTTCATTTACATATATAGAAGAATACTGAAACAAAAACTGATCGCTCACATTCTAATATAAAACATAAACATTTATTTCTATATAAATATGTATATGTACCCTGTACATATTGAAATCTCGTCGCTGAGAAGTGTTATTCTCTTGATCTCTCTCTCTCTTTACCTTTGCAAGTTGTTTGCGAATTCTCTGACACATCTGAGTTAGAGAGACTGCATACTCCTAGCTTACTTACATTTAAAACTTATTGAGTCTTATATTTTGTATAAATATTTATTTAAGGAAGCCATTTTAAATGTAACTGACTAAAAATTGATAGTTATGGCATTTGTATGTAACCGCTATTTATCTTATCACTGCACCGAAATATATTAAATTTATTAGTGGTGAAATAACAAGCCAACATGCTGGTATATAAATAACCGATTTAGACATAGCACTCCAGTTGTTACAACGCAGTGAGTTTGAATAGATTGCAATGAGTTTAGCTGGTAAAGTTGTTATTGTAACCGGAGCGAGTTCCGGCATTGGTGCCACCACAGCTGAGGCCTTTGCTAAGCAAGGTTCCAAAGTGGTGCTCACAGGACGAAATGAGGCAAATCTGAAGGCTACTGAGGCAGCCTGTAAAGCGGCCAACAGCAAAGTGGAACTACTACTCATCGTCGCCGATGTAACGACAGATGCCGAGAAGATTATCAAAACAACAATTGACAAGTTCGGACAGTTGGACGTGTTGGTGAATAACGCCGGCTTTGGGGAAGGAGGTTCAATCTTGGATATTAATGTCGATCAATTTGATCGTGTCATGAATACAAATTTACGTTCGGTCTTCCTGCTCACCAAGTACGCCGCACCACATCTCGTGAAGACCCAAGGTAATATCGTTAATGTTTCCAGCGTCGCAGGATTGCGTGCAAACGCTGGCTTTTCGGTCTATTGCACGTCCAAGGCAGCTTTGGATCAATTCACCAGGTGTATCGCCTTAGATTTGGCGTCGAAAAATGTGCGTGTGAATGCCGTAAATCCTGGATTGATTGTGACAAAATTCTATCAGGGTCTTGGCATATCGGAAGAAGTTTATGCTAAATATATAGAGCATTCGAAGACTACGAATCCATTGGGTCGCGTCGGCGAACCGAAGGAAGTAGCTGATGCCATTATTTTCCTTGCGAGTGACAATTCGAGCTTTATAACGGGCGCAACTCTGCCGATCGACCCCGCACCGGAACCCCGCAGTCGTTGTCCTGTGTGTACTTATATGTTTTAAAGTGAAAAGAAGGTTGAATTTATATTGTGTTGAAACTATTTATTTTTCCACATTTTTTTTTTTTTTTTTTGGATTTCTGTTCCGGTGCGTAAATGTACAGGGAAGATGGTTTTCCAACTCGTGAAAACGTGACGTATATCTGACCGTGTGGAAAACATGTCACTTCCAGATTTATGCCACACTTCTAGGGACTATTCTTGTATCCTATGGACTGTCATCTCAAATGCAATTTTTCCTGGAAACTGAATAGGTTTCAACTGAAATGGGAAATCGTTGGAACTCAAAGGAATTCGTATAATCAGCATTCTGCCCCCTTGTATTCATTTCGGCGCATGAAAATTGCGAAACATAATAATGACTTTGAGACGCAAATGATGTGGCGGCGGCCTCTCTAAAGAATTTAGAAATTCCAATGTGTTGTCAACTTCGATATTCACTCCTCTAAGATGAATGCTAAATGTCCTGCCATTGTCGTCTGGTGAGCTACGCCAATAGAGTGGGTATCGATCATTTCCAGTTTGCGTTTCCGAAAAAAAAGCACGTGGATAGTGTTTCGTGCATTTATTGTACGACATACAAACCGAAGTGGGGTTGTGGTGTCCGCAATGTCTATGAACCATATTGGTTTTCACCACTTCGTATAAGTCTGTATCTATCTATAGATCAGGAATTTCTACAGAAATGATTTCATCAATTACAACTGGTGTAACCACCATCCACCATCCAAAGAAGAATGCGTGTGTGCGGAAAATCTCTTCTTTGCCATAAAAACGTCGACCGATATTAGCGCGACCCTGAAGTCCTTTCAAAGTGGCTCAGGCCATTTTTTCATTTCATGGAACGGCTTAGTCAGCTATAGCAAACAAACAAAAATTCGACTTATTTTTATATATAACAATATAATAATTTTATATATAAGAATTAGCACTTGAGACCTATTTTAAGTTCGCGTGCAACTTCTAAGAATCAAAGGCACGGAAAAACTTAAGATGTTAAATGTGAACGAAGGGATTAGAACCCAAGCAATTTTATGCATATATACACATGCTCACATACTGACCGACATATTCACCATAAGGTTGGTTAGAAAAGAAATCGTTATACATACTATATGAGAATTGAGTTAGTATCGACCCGATTTTATCTATGAACTATCATCATGCCACATACTAAAAGAATTGTGTCTAGGTTTCATTAAGATACCTCACATACTATACTGTTAGCAATCATATGGAGTAAAATCATAAACAAACCATCTTGAAACATAGTGATACTATAACCAGGAAAGGTTTCTCTCTGAATTTCAATTGTATATCTCACACATTCACCAATATTTTCGATCAAAAGACAACTATATGTAGATACTAGAATCCACATATTCGATATCCAGGGCAGGGGCGGATCTACAGGGTTGAGCTATTCAGTCAATTTCACGTTGTCAAAGAAATGTTATGTACCGAATTTGGTAGAAATCGGCCGAGCAAATACCGAGATATGTGACTTTACCTAAAACCTGTCCAATTTATACACCGGCTCCTATGAAACCCTCTCATATAATCTCTTGGGTAAAATTTAATGTCTCTTTCGTTTTTAGTTAATGATTTATCAAACTTTTAGTAGTTTGTAACAGTACCGTGATATGGAGAGTAAGCGGTGTTATGTTCCCATTTCATCGATTTTCAGAATTTCGTTTGTAATATTTTTTAGACGCCCTAGTTGGTTGCCAAAATTCAATGAAATCGATACTTAAATTACGCCATAATCCATAAAAAATCCATATAAATTATATTTTAAAGAAATTAAGTGGATATGCTCTTGTGGACACAATATCGTTAATCGCTGTATACTATATGTATATCAGTCTGCACCGATAACCTTGGTCTAGCTGAAACCAATTTAACAGGCCGTTCCATACGTATGTTCCGCTACTCAATTCTGCTGCTAACATTTTTATTTTTTTATATTTTTTTTTTGCTTTAGTGGCGCTAACAGCATTGCAAGAATGCATATTCTCCAGTGAGAGTTGAATTTTAACATTTTTGTAATATTTTCATTACATTTTATATCGTTGGATCAAACAAAATTTTCATTTACGCCCTCAACTACTAATGAGAGAGAGTCATACAAATGCGAATCTGTGGCTAATAGCCTAACTCATTCCTGGCGAATAAAAAGTATAAATGGAACGCGCAAACTGTCAAATCCTTTAATGAGTAACTACAAAAGGCAAAGCGTTCATCAGTTGATTTTAATTAGCCACATAGGTAGTTAGAGAAGAAATTAAATTTTTAATTTCACAATTTATTAAAAAAAATATATTGGAACGTGATCTTCTGCACTAAGGCCTAGCCAAGATGTAAGTATACTCCACAAGAAACAGTGCAACTGACCAAAAAGTAGATATGTGAGGCAATTTATACACGCGCTCCACATTTATCTTATCAATCAGCCGCAAATAATTTGGAAATATAATATACCTATATACCTATATTTGTGGTGAAATAGCAAGCCAAAATGTCTGCTTTGAGTAAATATAAATAGCTGTAAAAAAAATAGTGGTTCAGTTGTTTCAACGCAGTGAGTTTGGATAGATCGCCATGAGTTTAGCTGGTAAAGTTGTTATTGTAACCGGAGCAAGTTCCGGCATTGGTGCCATCACAGCTGAGGAATTCGCCAAGCAAGGTTCCAAAGTGGTGATCACAGGACGAAACGAAGCTAACTTGAAAGCTACGGAAGCTGCCTGTAAAGCAGCCAACAGCAAAGTCGAACTACTACTCATCACCGCTGATGTCACAGTTGATGCGGAACGCATTATAAACTCGACAATTGACAAGTTTGGTCAGTTAGATGTGTTGGTGAATAATGCCGGTTATGGTGAAGGAGGTTCAATTTTGGATATTAATGTCGATCAATATGATAAAATTTTTGATACCAATGTGCGCGCAGTCTTCCTGCTCACTAAATATGCCGCACCACATCTGATTAAGACACAAGGTAATATCGTGAATGTCTCCAGCGTAGCAGGATTGCGTTCATTCAGTGATCTCTCGGTATATTGCACTTCCAAAGCGGCATTGGATCAATTCACCAGATGTATCGCCTTGGATTTGGCGCCGAAAAATGTGCGTGTGAATGCCGTAAATCCTGGATTGATTGTGACAAAATTCTATCAGGGTTTTGGGATATCGGAAGCAGATTATGCTAAATATTTGGAGCACTCGAAGTCTACGCATGCACTGGGTCGCGTCGGCCAACCGAAGGAAGTGGCCGATGTCATTATTTTCCTTGCGAGTGACAGTTCAAGCTTCATAACGGGCGCAACTCTGCCGATCGATGGTGGCAAACACGCCATGTGCCCGCGTTAATATTTTTTACAAATGTAATTTAGTATAATTAAACGCATTCATAATATATATATATATGTATATACATATGTATGTTAATAAAAATATGCTTTAAAATAATTATCTGGCTTTGTTTCCTTTGAGGAATGAATGATGTTAACAATAATTTCTAAAATATATATATTTTGATTACTAATAGCACTTGGGACACTATACCAATAAGCTAATATGTCTAATACCATACAGTTATGATAATACTCTTGGCGTAGGCTTTATTTTTGCCACATATTGATTGATATGAAAGATTACGGAAACAAAAACTGATCGCTCACAATCTGATACAAAATAGAAACAATTATTTCTATGCTTATTCATAGGTATTTAAATCTCTATATAATACTCATATATGCACATATTTACATTTGTTCAAACCAAGCGGTGAAATTATCAGCGCATACGCTTTAATATTGTTCTCTATCTCTGAGAGCAATTTAGCTTTAGGCGGGAAACTGAGCATAGCGATACATTCAAACTGTATATATTGTGATGTAGATACAATGCGATCTTAAAAGAAGTCAACAGAATTCTAAATTATAAAATGATTATTTATTAAATGCCCTAAAATATTAATGAATCGTCCAGTCCCATCATTTTTATAATCTCATTACAACCAAAATCATCATTCAGCATATGACTCTGTTAAATTTCGCCATATTCTGTTTTAATTGATTTATTGATTGTATTGACCGCTTTATCTCAGGTTATAAGTGTCCAAATGTTTTCAATCGGGTTCTCATCAATCCAATGAAGCACAATGTTGTTTTGCGTCGTTCCCAAACCACATATCTGATTGATATCGTTGTCACCAAATCCTTGTTTTGTGAAGCATCCCCTAACGGTTATTTGTATCACTTAAAAATATTCGTGTTAGATATACATAATACAAGGTGCATTCCAAAGTAAACAGGACTTAAAAAAAACAGAACAAATGGTGTTTTTTGGCAAAACCAATTAATTTTGTTCAACATAGTCTCCTTCTGCTTCAATACAGCTTTTTGCGCGATCCAAAAGCATATGGAAAGAGTGTTTTAGCTCGTTGGCAGGTATGGCCGCCAGTATACCGGTTCATGCCTTTTGAAGGTGAACACGGGGAGTGGTTAATAGTTAAAATGTGATTTTTGGTCAAATAATCGGTCACAATGATGTCTTTCGAATGTTGGAATATTCGGTCAAATTGCGATAAATCATGTTTTGAAGATGTTCCATGCCATTTCCATGAATTTTAGTGAAGATTTCGGCTGATTTTTGCTGAATTCACGCACAGTTTGGATGGAATTTCCGGTGATCACGGATTTTGATTGGCCCACATGTCGATCGTTATTTATGTCTTCACTACAACTAGGGATAGGCAATCATCGCTATAAACTTGTTTCATCAATTGAAACGTTTCGGTAAAAGTTTTACCAATTTTAAACAAAATTTAATGTTGGCTCATTTTCGCACCGATAATACATATTGATACTTAAAACACAATAACTTCACGGCCAATCGAAATGTCATGAAATTCTCACTGGACAATCGATAAAAGTAGCAATCAACTTATAGGTGGCGCTACAAGGAGCGTTAGATTCAAAAAATCCTGTTTACTTTGGAACGCACCTCAGGTTAATAACTTTAAGAAATTAGCTGAATAAATTTTGTAGAGTTAGGTTAGGTTAAGAGGTCGATCCTAGCCGCGATCTAACTTGGACATCTTAGAATGCCAGTCCGTGGAGTAACCTAAATTTTGCAAGTTATACATATTTTCCTCTCCGTCTAACAGCTTAACGCTTTCCGAGCGAAGAAAACATATAAATCGAGAGCGTAAACTATCAAATCATTTTATGAGTAGGCACGTAAATCACTGGCGTAGCTCTTAACATATAGCAAACACGAACGGATCAAAAATGACTCATGGACTGGGTGTCGGAATCTATTACGCGGAGCAAAGTCCTAGGCAACACTTCAAAGTGACGGAGTACCGCAGTACCTTCCAAACAGTAGTATTTGCATTTAAGGTAGCAACGCACGAAACGACATAAAACAGATAAATATATGCATATAGATCGATAGTCAAGCGTACATAGAAGCAGGGAAGTTGTTATAAAGCGGATGGGCGTTCCGAGAAACGAATTAGCTGATGATATTTTGGACTTTTACACTTTGTTTTTATGTGTGGAAGCTCTCATTATCGTGGTGAAGAGAGTTTCGTCTTATGTGATTTGATTTCTTCATTTCTTGAAAGACAACTAGTAAGCAAATTATTATGTATCACTCAGAATTTACCGGTGGTATGGTTCTGGCGACACATTCAGTTTTTCTAAAAAACAGGCAACAAATTGCTTGGAAATGCTTCGTGTGAGATCACGTTTTTTTGTATTCGGCCCATTTTGTAACACCCATATCACCGACTACTTTTTACTTTCGAGCTTATTGGTATAAATTCACCTGTCACTGTGTCATAGATATGTTTCGAAGCACCCTTATCGTAGTGATCATTTCTCTGGATACGAGTCTTTTTTTTAATGCATTTCACAAATTGTATAAGATCCAACGAGAAAATAATTAGTTGTCTAAATTACACGACAGGTTGCATGAAACACGCGCAGCGTCAATGTTTTCGGAACAACAGCTAATTTTGAACGATCGTCCAGAAATTCGTATTGGAGTGATCTACGACCGTGATTGGATTCATCATACCATCAATAAACAGTGGTCTTTGATGGAGTTTTATCGCCAACAATTGAATTAAGTTCAGCGATGCACTGCGTTAATCGATGTCGAAAGTTGTCAAAATATTCGGTATCAAAGTATTCTGTCAGTGCTAATTGGGTTTCTTATGACCCAAGTGACAAAACTTTTTTTTAAGTGTGATTGTTCATCCCTTTTGAGTTATGTGTTAGATCCGCGTTAATTCCTTTAACGTATTGGAGTTTTGTGACTTGCTAGTATGTTATCCAATATTTGAATTTACATTTCATATAACTGGTCTATGACATTATATAGCTGTATTAGGTGTAATTCTGCAGTTTTATGGAAATTGTGTGGGAGTCTAGTTAAGTGAGAGTCTAGGCATAAACTATTGACGGTCCAAATAAACCATCCACATTGAGCCGAAAATAAAATTATCGATATTATCAATGGTCCCACCGATTGTTATGAAGCTCTACTTAGCAAATGGGGAACTTATAAGTAATCGGGATTTTCCTTATCAGGGCCTGGCCAAGATATGAATATAAACTTCAAAATAGTGCAACTGAACGAAAAGTTTATATTTATGGCATTTTTATGAACTCGCTCAATATTTATCTTATCACTGCGCCAAAATTAATTGAATTATTAGTGGTGAAATAGCAAGCCAACATGTTGGTATATAAATAACCGATTTAGACATAGCCCTCCAGTTGTTACAACGCAGTGAGTTTGAATAGATTGCAATGAGTTTAGCTGGTAAAGTTGTTGTTGTAACCGGAGCGAGTTCTGGCATTGGGGCCGCCACAGCTAAGGCCTTTGCCCAGCACGGTTGCAAAGTGGTGATCACAGGACGAAATGAAGCTAATCTGAAGTCTACTGAGGCGGCTTGCGAAGCAGCCAACAGCAAAGTGGAACTACTACTCATCCCCGCTGATGTAACGACAGACGCCGAGAAGATTATCAAAACAACTATTGACAAGTTTGGACAGTTGGACGTGTTGGTGAATAATGCCGGTATAGGTGAATCGGGTGCAATCCTGGACATTGAAGTCGACCAATTTGATCGTGTTATGAATACAAATTTGCGTTCGGTCTTCTTGTTGACTAAATATGCCGCACCACATCTCGTGAAGACCCAGGGTAATATTGTGAACGTCTCCAGTGTGGCCGGATTGCGCTCATTCCCTGGTCTTTCGGTCTATGGTACGTCCAAAGCGGCACTGGAGCAATTCACCAGATGTATCGCCTTGGATTTGGCACCGAAGAATGTGCGTGTCAACGCTGTCAGTCCCGGCGTCATTGTTACAAATATTCTTACACGTTTAGGCATGTCGGCGGAAGACTATGCTAAATTTTTGGAGCATTCGAAGTCCACACATGCGCTGGGTCGCGTCGGCGATGTTAAGGAGGTTGCTGATATCATTATTTTTCTAGCTAGTGACAGTTCGAGCTTTATAACGGGCGCAACTCTGCCGATCGATGGTGGCAGACATGCCATGTGCCCGCGTTAATATTCCTTAGAATAGATAGATATATAAAAATAAATAAAAAATATGATTTAAAATAATGTCTTTTGATTTGCTACGGAAAATTATCAAGTTAAATTTTTGTTAACGAATTTCTAAAACTCCGATTGTATTTTACGCGCTATTAGCAGCTGAGAAATTTTCTCTCACAATCTCATACAAAATAAAAGCAATTCTATGTTAAAATGCATCTGTTAAAACTTAGCGGAGAAATTTTCAACGAATATGCCTTGTCAATGGCTTTTCTGAGAGCCACCTAGTTTTGGAAAGAAAACTGAGCGTAGCAACGCTCAGAAAATGTAAATATTGTGTTGCTGATATGGTACAAAGCGAAATTGTATAGGTCATGAAATGAAAAGTCTTATGCAGCAGTGTGATTAAATTTGCGTACTCTCGCAAGATATTGCTTCAGTGTTTATATTTTGGTTAATCTAACGGTAGTTTGTAGAACTTAAAACTAATGGAGATATAGATATATAATTATTTATGTATATATCAGTAATCAGCATGGCGAGACAAGTTGAGTTCCGTTCTATCTGTTCGTCCGTCTGTACTTTCATGCAAAGTAAGAATGTAGATATGAATGTGCTTGACATACCATCTTGACATACCATCTTGACGTACCAAAAAAGTAGGTATTGTAGAAGATAGTTAAAAGTATTGTAGATTAACCGAAACCAGATCACTGCCACGCCCACAAAATACCGTTAACTTATAACCTTGCATAACTAAGCCGAAATTAAGTTAAATAAAAATAACTTTAACTTCTACTGCACCGAATTTATGGTACTCATCACAAATAAAAAAAGTTTTCGTTACAAAAACTAAATTTTGATAGGACAGTTTTTACCATATATGCAGCTATATGTTATAGTAATTTCACATATCACATGAAACAAAAAAGTCTCGTAGGAACTGGTGTCAAAATTTGACAATTGACGTGACCACCTTAGTTGAATTCATATATCCCAGAAATTACTCGACCAATTTATTCCAAATTTGCTACGTAACAATATTATTCTGAGATTTTTTTATAAACTGTCCTAAAAGTGGGTGAAGCTCACCAGATACAGCCACTACTACTTTTTACATATCATCATATATTCTTTAAATCTTTCAGTTTATAGCGTATAAATTGAAATTAACCATTACGTAAATAGTGCCTTTAAAGTATGCCCTCTCAGGTTTATAATTTATCGATAAGTTTTCAAGTCCCCAAATATCGAATATTCGGCGAAAAGTGTTTTTGTCAGACTTTATAGCGTGTTTACCAGCCAATGTGCGAACTATGTCGGGTAGTCGAAAAAGTCTTTTCGTATTTTGTCAATTGACATCGTTGCAGTCGTATATATCCAGTGCTACCAATCACATTGTGTCATATCAAACAGTGTTGGAAAGGGGAGATTTTAAGCTTCTTTTGACCAAAAAATTAAATTCGGAGAAGTTGAAAAAAAGTTACAGCTCTTCAAAAATTAAATTGAAAATGATGAAGAAATGCGCTATATTTTGAAATTTTTGTATAAAAAAAGGGAAGAATGCCACGCAAGCCACCAATGGAATTTAAAATTTTGTTTACGGAGACGATGTTGTAACAGTTCGCTCGCTTTCGTTCTGGAAATTTCGACGTGAAAGATGTACCTACTTTTTATCGACCTATCGCTGAAAAAGTCGGAGAAATGATGGAAAAGATTGACCAGGCCCGTCACATAAGCAGGCATAACAGCGCCAAAGAACTTAACATTCATCGTCAAACAGTTTTGAACCATTTWAAAAAGGCTGGCTATAAAAAGAAGCTCGATTTATGAGGACCACATGGATTGTATCTGAAAAATTTAATGGACCGAATTAACATCTGCGATTCTTTGTTGATACGAAATGAAATCAAACAATTTCTGAAGCCTCTTGACGCCTCGAAAGATTATACTGAGTGTTTGATGAAATTGGAAAGGAATCATCCACTATGAACAGCTCCAGCCTGGTCGAACGATTGATTCTACATTTTACTGTCAATAACTGATGAGATTGAAAAAAGTAATCGAAAATAACGACCAGAACTGATCAAAAGAAAGTACCCAATCCATTACCAGAACTGATCAAAAGAAAGTACCCAATCCATTCAACTGTCAAAGTCGGGTAGGTAAATTGCTCTCTCATTTCCAATGACAGGACAGTTGGACATCCCTTTAAGAGTTTATATAGTTGTCAGTTCAAAGTAAATGTTCATTTAGTTCCAATGACATGACAGTTATACATATTCTTATATCTGTCTAAGAATAGTAGCCTAACCTTTCTGGGCGATTGAGAAAATAAACCGAAAGTGTAAAATTTGTTTAGTGCGCAGCTGCTGGTGGATAAACGTTCATCAGTCGATTTAAATTAACCATTATTTAAATAGTTATAGACATGAGTTATCAGAGACAATATTAAAGATATATCTTTCTCTTCACAATACATTAGAATAATATATTATGCTTCGGTCCTCAAGTGCTCCCCATCATATGAATATTAATTTCCAAGTAGTGCACTCATTCTTTACTATTTCTTAAGAACATAAATAAACGAAAAAGCTAATAAGAGATCATCTCTCTTTGCAAACATTTCTCTCTTCGAGATAGAACGCTAAAAAAATAAAATATCTTCTCTGTGAGTATATGATAGTGTATGTTCATGACTTTGAGAGACGTCAATACCTCACTCTATACCCATGCAAGTTCTTTGCGAATTCTCCAGTTTACATCAAATACTCGTCGAATTTTAGACATCGTATAAATATATTGTAATATTTTTATAATATTCATTTATGGAAAACTATGTCAAGTGCTACTGACTTAAAACACTCTCTATCTTATCAATGCAAAAGAGTATGGGATTATTAGTGGTGAAATAGCAAACCACTTTGTGTGTATTTAAATAGCCGTGTTAAACATAGCAATGCAGTTGTTACAACGCAGTGAGCTTGAATAGATCGCAATGAGTTTAGCTGGTAAAGTTGTTATTGTAACCGGAGCGAGTTCTGGCATCGGTGCCGCCGCAGCTAAGGCCTTTGCCCAGCACGGCTCCAAAGTGGTGATCACAGGACGAAATGTAGAGAACTTAAAAGCTACCGAAGCTGCCTGTAAAGCTGCCAACAGCAAAGTGGAACTACTACTCATCGCCGCCGATGTTACGACAGACGCTGAAAAGATTATTAAGAAAACAATTGACAAGTTCGGACAGTTGRAYGTGTTGGTGAATAAYGCCGGYTTTGGTGAAAYGGRTTCAATCYTGGATATTGACGTCGAGCAATTTGATCGTGTGATGAATACAAATGTGCGTTCGGTCTTCCTGCTCACCAAATATGCCGCACCTCATCTCGTGAAGACCCAAGGCAATATCGTGAATGTCTCCAGTGTCGCAGGTTTACGTTCATTCCCTGATGCTTCGGTCTATTGCACCTCCAAAGCAGCACTGGATCAATTCACCAGATGTATTGCCTTAGATTTGGCGCCGAAAAATGTGCGTGTGAATGCCGTAAATCCCGGTGTTATCATAACAGAATTTCATAAGCGGTTAGGGATGTCGGAAGCAGATTATGTTAAATATTTGGAGCACTCGAAGTCTACGCATGCACTGGGTCGCGTCGGCGAACCGAAGGAAGTGGCTGATGCCATTATTTTCCTTGCTAGTGACAGTTCGAGCTTTATTACGGGCGCAACTCTGCCGATCGATGGTGGCAAACACGCCTTGTGCCCACGTTAATAATTATTAATTTCTCAAGATATATGTACATATATGTCGATATGTCAAAATAAAGAATTTGCTCTAAACAAAACAAGAACAAAAAAATTCTAAAAAGCTTTTTGTATTTTGCGCAGTTTTGCAATTGAGATCATTCCGATAAGCTTGCATATCTAATAGAGATATGAAACACTCTATGCGTGGGCTAAAAATATGATTACTCAAACAAGAATCGCTCGTTCTCAGTATGAAAATAGAGAATAGATGCATACTCAAATCTATCGGCGAAATTACACTGCTCAACAAATCTGAAGTAAAAATTTTCGGCTGATGTGCTAAGAAATCTGAAGCGTTTTTAAGCTGATTACGAATTTTATTCGAATTTTATTTTAGTAAATGGTGATGGTTTAACCCCTACACTCCTTGACTGCGTCACAAAGAAACCTAGGTGTTAGGAGATTTTTACTCTTATTTTGATTTTCTTCAAAACCAAAAATTTGCAAGAACCAGCCTCTTACTCTTCGAGATAGAACGCTAAAAAAATAAAATATCTTCTCTGTGAATATATGATATTATATGTTCATGACTTTGAGAGACGTCAATACCTCACTCTATACCCATGCAAGTTCTTTGCGAATTCTCCAGTTTACATTAAACCACTTTCGAATTTTATATTATACACAGTGTTATCAATGCATACGCTTTGGCATCGTTCGCTGTCTCTGAGAGCCATTTAACTTCTAGCTGTGAATAGAAAAGTGAGCGCAGCGATGCGTTCCAGCTGTAAATACCATACTGTTGTGATAGATAGAATGCAGAAATGTGCAAGTCATAAAATGCAAGGTCACTGCGGTTATACATACTTACGCACTAGTGTAAGTAATTTTTTTTTTTTTTTCCTTTTCAAACATTGCAATTAACATGCTTAATAAACACTCACGTCAAGCGCCCCCTCTCAATACTATCTATTCATATATGTAATAATCCAATTTGATATTGAGTTATTAGTGGAGGGAGCGTCATTTTTGCTGGCGAAATAATAAACTACAATCTACTATATTTAACTTAGTTAATTTAGTGCCGTGAATGCGAATAGTTCGTCATGAGTTTAGTCGGCAAAGTTGTAATTGTAACCGGAGCAAGTTCAGGCATCGGTGCCGCCGCCGCAGAAGCCTTTGCCAAACAAGGTTCCAGAATGGTGCTCGTAGGACGAAATGAAGCGAATTTGAAGGCTTCCGTAGCTGCCTGTAAATCAGTCAACAGCAAAGCTGAACTTCTACCGCTTATCGCCGATGTCACAGTGGATGCGGAACGAATTATAAACTCGACTATTGAGCTATTCGGACAATTGGATGTGTTGGTCAATAACGCAGGCATTTTCGAGGTTGGCAATATCTTGGATATTGATGTGGATCAGTTTGATCGTGTCATGAATACAAACTTGCGTGCGGTCTTCCTGCTAACTAAATATGCCGCACCACACTTGATTAAGAGTCAAGGTAATATCGTGAATGTCTCCAGCGTTACCGGACTGCGTTCATTTCCGGGTGTTTCCACCTATTGCTCCTCAAAGGCAGCACTGGATCAATTTACCAGATGTATTGCCTTGGATTTGGCGTCGAAAAATGTGCGTGTGAATGCCGTAAATCCCGGTGTGATTGTGACCGATATTCATAGACGTCGTGGCTTATCGCCAGAGGGTGTCAAGGAATATTTGGAACGTTGTAAGGAGACACATGCACTTGGACGTGTCGGAGAACCAAACGAAGTAGCCGATGCTATTATATTCTTAGCTAGTAGCAACGCCAGCTTTATAACGGGCGCAACGCTGCCCATCGACGGTGGCAAGCATGCAATGTGCCCGCGTTAATTAGTTATTGAAAATTCTTATCTACTTATATGTATGTAGTGTATACCAGTAAATAAAAAATATAAATATTAAATCGCAGTGTTTTCATAGATTTTCTGATTTACTTTTTTGCCGAACCTACTTGATCTAATTTTTTTTATTATCAACCCACAAGAGTTGGAATTTTGTTAAGCATCTCAAGTATTTAACCAGTAAGATCATGAACTGTTTCTAAGGTCTATAAGGTAGTTCGAAATACCGACATAAATAATTGGGGTCTATGAAATAACTCCCACGAAATACTGTATATATAATATAAAAACACCAAAAATTGCTATTTCGAAAGTGGGAGTTATTTCGTTTTTAAAAGTAGTACTTATTTCGTTACGCGTTTTTATTTTAAGTGGGACTTATTTCATTTTGAGTGGGAATAAATTCGTTTTGTAAAGTGGGAGTTATTTCATAGTTTCCCTGATTCAAAAATATTTGGTTACTGGTTCCATTATTAAGGCATTCTCCGGAAAAGCTTTGAGAGCGCAGAAGCATGCTGCTTGGATCCCCTCTGCCGTCTTAAAATGATTACCTTTCATCGGCCTTTCAGTTCGTTAGCTAGGACCGCCCTATACCGAATCCAGTCGGTGCGCGCACGCTCCGAAGTACAATCGCGCCTAATGAAAACAGTCCCTATTACTTTGCGAACAAACCCTGTAAGATTTCAAACTCACCACCATACGAAAAAGGCAATTACATGCCATGTTGTCCTCATTCCGACTGAATTTCAATACTCCTGCGATTAATATTATCGAGACATTAAAACTTAATACTCAATTTTATCAGCGTAATTGACCAATTCCTTAGCTGATAGTTCGCTTAGACCGCTTGTACGGTACTTTTTGAAGCCAGATAAAAACTTGTGTAGTTGGAGTTGTAGCTATCGATAAAGCACCTTGAACATATCACAATTCTATTTATCACCAAATATTTCACAAGAGAGCATGAGAGTAAGTTTTACACTCGATTTGGCAAAGGCGGGACATTTGATAAGGAAATGTTGAGATGATCTGACATCCTGTAAATTTTGCAAACATACCGCAAGAATCCCGAACTCTTACAACTATTGAAAGGTGAACTTTGTTGATGGCAAAGAGCTGAGTAGACCTCTTACGATTCACGCTGGGTCAGAAGTACCTTGCGACTGCACTCTTACTGAGCTGACCTGAAGCATAACCAACCAGTATTTAACCGCAAGAAGCCAATAGAGCTTCTGTCCATTACCATTCCGCAGCTAGTGAGATTGAGACTTGGTCTTTATATCCTTCACTTATTTATTATATTAACAAAAACAAAATATGGTTTATCTATAGGTATGTACGCGACTTCTACGCTATTAGTCGAGAGGTAGAGGTAAGATAACCACAAACGGTGAATAAATCGGTCGGTGCATGAGAAATCTAACAAAAAAAATTCAAGTATCCACTTGTTTATAAATACAAAATTGCAAAAAAAAAATTATCAACTCTGATGGATCTAAGAAATCTACAATTTGAAGTGAGCTTAGTCGACAATATTTTTATGTATGTATTGTCAGGAGCGGGTTCATCGCGAGCAGTGAACTCGGATGACTGTCAATTGGAGTTCGGATATTCGTGAATAATAGGATGTTCCGCTGTTATCTTCAGAGTGTCTGCTACTCATTTGATTTCAATTTAAAAATTATTTTGTGGACTTTTTTTATGATTTTCATCGGTAACAGGACTTCTATTAGCTTCGTCGTCTTCAGTGCTGATTTCGCTTCGCTCATACTTAGCAAACCACATTTCAACGGTTGATTTCCCTGATGCATAGTCAAAGTTATGTTGATCAATCCAAACCGTGGTTTCAAAAGCATTTTTCACTCAAAAATGCGATATTTTAGCAACGCAAATTCCTTTCGATCCATTTTTTCACAATAACAAAACTTACTTCACTCAAAATGATATAATTCACAACTAATGAACCAACAGCTGTCAACTTTATATACGCGCTCTACATATCGGGCCGGGACTTTTCAATTGAGCTGTTATGTACCTGTAGAATAATACTCGTATCTTATGTGATTGCTCTCTGTCTGAGGGCTAGTTAACTTATAAATATTATTCCCTCTTATCCTTATCTAATCACATTCCATACATAACTGATGAATGAACAATAAGGGCTGAAACTCTCTGGAGCAGTGGGCTAGGTCCAACTCTTTTTATCTGACACAAATCAGATATCCTAGCAAGCAAAAATATGTTAACAACCAGCTCAGCTGTAAGAAGTCGCGATAAATACTTTCTACTCATAAAAGCTGGTAACATACAGGGTTTGTCCGGAATGTGATAGGACTGAGCCGATTTGAAAAAATGCATTTAACCAATCTTCACAACTCTTTAAAAACTTTCCACATAAGCTCCTTCTGCTTCGATGCAGCGCTGACAGCTCCAAGCATTGCAGGCGTCACGGAAGGCGTTCTCCGGAATAGCCTTAAAATACTTAGTCGACGGTCTGAGTTAAAAACTTTGCGCATACGAGTCAAATTACCGGTGTTTGAAGAAGTCGCAGGAAAAAGGAATGGCGCCACCATCGCGTACCTCTGCTCTAACGAATGCAGCAGCTCGTTAGTTAGCTGCTTTTAACCACAAAATTTAGCTAATCCAATTTTAAATAGTTCTACACTTTTATTCTGTATTGCTGGGCTTCACATAAGCACTTTCGTAAATTAAAAACTTTGCAAAAAACAAATATTTACAAAATCCAAGTGATTAGATGTGAAGGTGTAAACTACCCTCGGAGTTTAGCGGGCAAAGTTGTAATTGTCACAGGAGCAAGTTCGGGCATCGGTGCTACGACGGCAGAGGCTTTTGCCAAAGAAGGTTCCAAAGTGGTGCTTGTAGGACGGAATAAAGCGAATTTGAAGGCTGCCGAAGCTGCCTGTAATGCAGCGAATAGTGAAGCCGAACTTTTATTAATCACTGCTGATGTCACAATAGATGAGGAACGCATTATAAACTCCACAATTGAAAGATTCGAACAATTAGATGTGCTGGTCAATAACGCGGGTATTTTCGAAGTTGGCAATCTCTTGGATATGGATGTTGCTCAATTTGATCGTATTTTCAATACAAATGTGCGTTCCGTCTTTCTTTTAACTAAATTTGCTGTACCACACTTAATCGAGACCCAGGGTAATATTGTGAATGTATCTAGCATCGCAGGTTTGCGTTCACTTTCGAATAAATTGGTTTATTGCACTTCCAAAGCAGCTGTGGATCAATTCACCAGCTGTTGCGCCTTGGATTTAGCACCGAAAAATGTGCGTGTAAATTCTGTTAATCCTGGTGTGATTGAGACCGATATTCATAAACGTCTTGGTTTCGCCGAAAGAACTTGACGACTTTTTTGAGCGTTCTATGAAAAAACATCCACTTGGTCGTGTTGGGCAATCAAATGAGGTTGCCGTTGCTATAATTTTCTTTGCCTCTGACAGATCTAGTTTTATAACGGGAGCAACTCTGCCCATCGACGGTGGTTTGCATTGTTGATTGAAATCTCTATTTTTTTTTTTTTTTATAACAGTTACTTCTATTCATATACCTACGAAATCGATTTTTTAATATTAAAGAGCCAAAATGAAGGTATTTTTTTTTTTTTTTTGTTTTAAATGGTATTTATCGTCATATTTAGGCGTCAATGGAGAGAGCGCAGGAAGATATTGAAATTCAATGAAGAAATTCTTCATTCATTTAATTTTAATTTATAAATTATTTTCTGAGCTTTTTTGATGTTTTCGTCAATAACAAGTCTTTCACTGCCTTCATTCTTCTCAGCGCTAACTTCGATTCGTTCAAACTTGGCAAACCACATTTCAACGGTTTATTTTCCTGGTGCAGAGTTCAAGTAATGTTGATCAATCAAACCCGTGGTTTCAATGAAAAAGCTGCTTCACTCAAAATTATATTGGGTAGTCGAAAAAGTCTTTTCGTATTTTGTCATTAGATGTCGTTGCAGTCGTATATCCCCAATGCTACCACAATGCATTGATCATACCGTATATTGTTGGAATGATGAGATCTTAAGCATCATCTAACCAAAAAAATCAAATTCGGGAAAGTTGAAAAGAAGTTACAGCTGTTCAAAAATCAGTGAAAATAATTAAGAAGTTCGCTATATTTTGAAATTTTTGTATAAAAGAGGGAAGAATGTCACGGAAGCCACCAATGAATCTGTGAAGTTTACGGAGACGATGCTGTATCAGTTCGTGTAACACAACAATGATTCACTCGCTTATGTTCTGGAAATTTCGATGTGAAAGATGAACCTTGCTCTCGTCGATCTATCGTGGAAAAAGTGGAAGAAATTATGGAAAAGATTGACCAGGATCGTCACTTAAGCAGGCATAACAGCGCTAAGGAACTTAACATTCATCGTCAAACGGTTATGAATCATTTGAAAAAAGGTGACTATAAAAAGATACTCGATGTTTGGGTATCACATGAATAGCATCTGCGATTCTTTGCTGAAGCGAAATGGTATCGAACAATTTCTGAAGCGAATGGTAACAGAAGACGAAAAGTGGATTAAAAACGACAATAAAGTGCAAAAAAATCATGATCCAAGCGTGGTGAAGCTCCACAAATGGTCGCAAAGCCAGGATTGACGCCTCGAAAGGTTCTGCTAAGTGTTTGGTGGGATTGGAAAGGAATAATACACTAAGAGCTGCTCCAGCCTGGACGAAGGATTGATTCTACATTTTACTATCAACAACGGATGAGATTGAAGCAAGCAATCTAAGAAAAACGGATTAAAGTGGTCAACAGTTTCGTTTTCTTTCCGGACAACGCTAAACCACACACATCTTTGATGACTCGGAAAAAACTAAGAAAGCTTGGGTGAGAAGTTCTGATATATTCTCCATGTAGCCCAGACATTGCGCCATCGGCCTATCATTAGTTTCGGTCTATGTAGAACTCCCTTAATTTGAGTAAAGTTGGCTTCAAGAGAAGACTGTGAAAATTAGATGTAGCAGTTTTTCGCCGAGAAGCCAGAAAAGTTTTACACCGATGGAATAATGTCTCTAGCGGAAAAATGGCAAAAAGTCAGCCACTTTAAATTAAAAGCATTAAAGTTTATTATAAATATAAGAAAAATAAATTGTAGTTTGATTAGAAATACGAAAAGTCTTTTTCGACTACCCTATATAATTCACAACTAATGATCCGACAGCTATCAATTTTATTACGCCTTCTATGTATCAGGCCGGGCACTTGTCAATTGACCTGTTATGTACCTGTAAAATAATCATCGCATACTTACGTGATTGCTCTCTATTCCTGAAAGCTATTTAACTTCTGGTTATTGTTATCAATTTAGTTACACCAGTAGCTTCTTTCTCATAATTATCTAATCACACTGCATGCTTAATGACAATGATGAAAGGACAATAAGGGCTCTTTATATCTGATGCAAATCAGATATCCCAACCAGCAAAATTATATTAAAAACCACCTCAGCTGTAAGATGTCTCGATAAATACATCCCACTCTTAAAAGCTAGTTATATACTCACCCTAAAGCCCTAAAGTAAATATTAGGAGATCCGCCAGTCTACTAAAGAGCAACATATTACTAACTGAACTTAACCACAACTTTTAGCTATTCTAATTTTAAATAGTTTTACACTTTTGTTCTGTATTGCTGGGCTCTACATAAGCACTGTCATAAATTAAAAACTGTGCAAAAAATAAATATTTACAAAATCCAAGTGATTAGATGTGAAGGTATAAACTACCCTCTGTAAGTATTAGCATTACCCACAGTAGTGCAGTTCGTTCAACGCCGCGAGATATCACACAATCTTGGTCGCCAATCGACCGGTTCGAAACCGTAAATTCCACTGGTTGATGAGACTTCCACATTTCTATCAATTGTCACCGAGAACACGAGCTTCAATTTCAGGTATCAAATAGTCGTTAATCATGGCGCGATAACGATCGTCATTGACGGTTACATTCGCACCGACATCATTTTGGAAGAAATATAGACCGATGATTCCACCTGCTCACAAACCACACCAAACCATGGTATTTTCTGGATGAAATGGCAGCTCTTGAATCTCTTTGGTTTGTTTTTGTACCGAATGCAGCAATTATGATTGTTTACATACCCATTGAACCAGAAATGGGCCGAATCGCTGAACAAAAATTGGCTCGAAAACGTCCGATCTTCTTGAAACATTTCAAGAATCTATATAGCGAAGCTATATCGCTTGAGTACGTCGATCAGCTTCAGTTCTTCCACAAGATGTTCAGCTCCGGCTACTATGTTCTCTTCAATGCATATTAGACGTGGTTTATGCGGTCGAATATTATCCAAAACCAAATTTGAAACCCAGAAATTTGTGATCGTCTTGCGAATAGTACGCTTTTTATAGGTTTGCCAAATGGTTAAGAAATTGATACACCATCTGATCAAATTTGACTCGGACTAATCCATTTGATTTACGAACTCAAACCGAGAGGTTGATCAAGCAATTTTTACCATTGAAAAAACAAGTTGAGGAGTTTGCTTTAAATTTTGTGTTTCCAATGGAATGGACAGCTACAGATTGTTCATACTATTGCAAAACTTTTTTCCGTGGTTTACTTTTTCACGACCACAACTATTTGAATGACACAAAGCAATCAATGAAGGTCGTGAAGTCTACGAAAATTTGCTTCATGCAAGTCGTCCTCTGTTAGCAGCAATAACATCGATAAAGTTAAAGAAATAGTGCTGTCAGATAGATGTCAATGTTTCTCATTTTCTCTTATGGAACGACTCAACTCATTTTGGGTATGAAGGTCCCAAAGGAAATGCTGAACAACGTTGCTGAGGCCCCTGCATTCATCAAACGCATCATTAGTGGTGACGAGATGTGAGATTATGAATACAACTTCGAAACTTTTTAACTATCTAACTACTGGAGCTGCAAAAATGAGCCAAAACTGAAAAAACCAAAACTCGCTGAAGGCACTGGAGACCGTCCCCAGCCGAAGTTTAAAACAAGTGTATGGAAAACTGGAATTAGCATTGGCATGCTTGTAGTCACTCATAACAATTCATACCATTTTCAAGGCGATAATAAAGATTTGTATAAACATACGTGAAATTGGTTTGGTCAGTCCGATTCAAATTTGATCACATGATATTAAAATTTTAAAAACCTGTAAAAATTTTTGTTAAATGTTGCCATGATAATTGCAGTTAAATCTATCGAATATTCACTTTCGCTCAGAAATTCCGAGCGGGGTACTTTACATATGCACATCCATAAATATGTTTCTACGTGTGGGTATATTCCGTACACACTCGTTAATATAATCACTGAGAGCTTCACTCTCAAATAGCCATAATTAATGTGTAATTAATTGTTTATTTTTCTACAAAACCATGCATAGCTACGCTGTATATACATATATTATGATTATGCTGTAAGTCTGTCGGCATAAATATAACTTTTTGTTCGATTGAAACCACACGTGAAGTCTTATACAAATGTTATACGCGGAAGATTATAGGCTCACGCAATTTGTATGAAATCAAAGCGTGTAAATATTCCCAGAAATATTTTAAAACTAAAACGAGCTGATAATAAGTACTTATAATGAGTAGACGGAAGCTAGCATAAGCTTCTACCGATACCATCTGCTTTTTACATCAAATTATATCTTACAATGCTCAAAAAACATATCTACTATATTTCATTGAAATACCGCACTCATATTGTGACAAAAAAGTACCCGAAAATTGGAAGTAACCTCTCAAATAATTAATTATTCATCAATATTTATTCAGCCGCCTTCAAAGTAGTCCCCACCAGATATTATGCCAATGATTTATCTAGTCCTCAAAACACTTTTCTAAGCACTTTTTGGGATGTCCTTCAGATCCTTCAGCGTTTTTTTTTTTATCTCTTCAATCGACTGAAAACGGGTTCCACAGACTGGCAATTTCAGTTTGGAGAACAAGTAAGAATCACACGGAGCCAAATCTGGTGAACGCGGTGTTTAATCGATGTTATTCATTGCATTAAAACCTGTGCAATCCCTGTCAAGCTAATAAAACCATGGCTCTTCGGCAGTTGTAATACTTTCCATGAATTTGGGATCAGAATTTGCGTGATCAACCATGTCCAATAAGCACTGTTTATGGCTTTCTTTTTGAAAATAATTCAATTTAGTCGGAATATTCATACACCCGCCAGCTTAACGAAGGAGGTATATGCGAATCGCTTACGACGTGCAAAGGAGACGTGCTCGGATCTGTGGGCACAACTAAAGAAGTAGCCCATACCATTGCCGCTTTGGCCAGTAATGAAACGTCGTTTACCATCCTTGGCCACAGTGCCCGTCGATGCTGGCAAGCAAGCGATGTGTCCACGTTAAGTATAGAATAATAAACAAATGATAATCTAAATACTAGTAGTCGAACTTGTATACAGTTTTTGTGCAATAAATATGTAAGAGAATGATTTGAAGGTCTATTACTTAGATTCTATGCATATCCTTGAAAACAGTGTTCATAATAGCCGAGAGATTAGTAAGAGCATTTGTATCGTTTCTGATACCAGCAAGCTGATCAAAAGATCTGCCTTAGAAAATTTCTTAAAGTAGCGGTTATTGAATCTTTCCATCGATAGAATAATGGGCTGTGTGAGATATACGACGATATTGATATACTATAGTTCAGCTAATTAAGAGACAGCGGCTCTGCTGAATAGGTCATGTCGTCCAAATGGATGAAAACGCCCCACCTTTGAGATTTTTCGATGCAGAACACGCTGGGGAAAGCAAAGGAAGGGGAAGACCTCCACTCCGTTGGAAAGCATACACATTGAATGAGAAATTACTGGAAATGTACCATCAACGAACAAGAAAAATCAGTATGGTTCAAGTCTAAAAGTTCAAGACGAGTGAAGAGCTGAACTCAGATGTTGGGAAACACATTCTGAGTTCCAACAACTTCGGCACTCAACCCTCGACTAGAAAATTGTACCACTGGTTTTCAAAGAGCTTGGATCACAAGTACTAATAATTTCTGGCACGACAGCTTGTCTAACTCCGTAGTTAATTCACGAGGAAATTATTCCGGTGGCGAAAAAAGTATAGAATAATATCTGGGTTCATCGGGATTTGGGTGATTGATTTCATTTAAAAATATATTTATGAAATAAATATACTTGTCTAACTTACGATCTAAAATAAAATCTTTACATACAAACATATATATTAAAATATTCTTAACAGAAAATGTCAACCGACTTTATTTCCCACCACCTACTCATTTATGGGAATCACTGTAGGTTGCCAAGGTGCTTCGGTAGAAGCTGTTGTTGCCGCTCGGAAAATAGGATTTTCGTMTGTTATTTCCGGAATATTGTGCATACACGAGCTCTCCGTTCGATTTCTAACAGTTTGAGCATCAGCCGGTATCGGTTTCAGCATCGTTACAGGGCCATAACGTGGAAAAGTTGGAGATAAAGGAGACTGAAAGGAAATAAAAATAGAAGAAAAAGAAAATTTTGATTATGAACTATTTTTTCCCGCACACTTACTCTCTCAGGCACCGGGTATGGCACTGGTCTAGCAATGGGTACCGGCAATACGGGCGGATAGAATTTTCGCGCGATGAATGCGTGAATAATCGAAGCAATACTCAGTGCGGCGGCTGTCTTAGCCGGCACAATAATCGGCGCTGGCGGTGGACCCACTGGTGCGGCAGGCGCTACAATAGGCGGAGGAAATGGCAGTGGCAGCGGCGGAGGTGGCGGTGCGAAAATTGGATTGTGATAAGGATAGGAAGGATAGCCGTGCAGGAAGGGATAGGCACGCGGCGCAGCATATGGCGGCGGAGCATAAGGACTATAGGGCAAAGCAAATGGTGGTTGTGCGAACGGTGAACCCAAACCGAAAGGTGCAAATGGTACTGGTCCAAAGGGCGCGGGTAGGTAGGGACCATTAGAGTCTAGTCCGTAAATGCTACGCTTACGACGTTTAACCGCACACAACACATCATGGCAGAGCAATAACTAAAAATTAAACAGTATTAGGGGGTGTATAAGATAAAGTCCACGGTATGAATAAATTATCCGCACCACACTTATTGAGAATTGGAAAATATTGCGCCTGCTTAACAGCATTTTACAACCTCGATTCACGTTTAATGTCTTTCGATTTACAATTAAGCTGAGCAACTAAATTGTAGACTTAGTTTGTGACCACTTTATACACTTTCTTCCGTCGAAGAAAGATATTTTTTTTTACAAGTTAAGATAGTTGATGAAAATTGCAAGTTAGTATGATTTGGCTGACCGTCTGGCAGACAGTTACTTTTATTCATATATGTGCGTATGTATGTAAGATTGTTTTTTATTTAAATGGCTAATTAATTATTGAAAACAAATGGCAAATGTGTCTATGTGTCTTTGCAGTGAGTTGCAGTTTTTATTCAGTTTCTACTTGTAATATTATTGGATATTATATCAATGATGTTTAAAATTAATAATGAAGTAAGTGAAGTTTATAAATCGAACTTCTTCTGAAGATGTCACTGTCATTTACTAACATTAATATTAGGTTGTCAAAAAAGTCTTGCGGTATTTTGTTCATAAAGTTTTTTTTTTGTTTTGTGACTCGTGCCCAGCTCTTGACCGATGCTACGGCTGCTACTATGCCGGTCTCTTTCAACCAATTCAGCGATTTTATCGCAATTTTCGACGGCAGGCCTTCCGGAGCGTGGCGCATCTTCGATCACCTCTACACCAGAACGAAAACGTTGAAACCATCGTTGTGCGGTGGAAATGGAAACTGTATCGGGTCCATAAACTGCACAAATTCTATTGGCGGCTTGAGATGCTTTTTTGCCTTTATCGTAGTAGTACTGTAAAATATGTCGTATTTTCTCTTTATTTTGCTCCATGTTTGCGATGCTATAACTCACGAACGACTTAAAAGAAACGTCAATCAATCAAACACGTGTTAGCCCGTGAAATGAGCTTTCCAAAAAGGTATAGCATGACCTGATGCGATGAATAAAACTAGAACTACGCGCTAACTAAGCGGTTAGACTAGTCTAGACCACACAAAAAATGCTAACTTAGTCAACTTAAAAGTTCAATTGAAAAGTTCCCGGCCCAACACAACACACTTTTTTTTTTKTTTTTTTGTCGGCAAAATTCGTTAATTTTTATTCAACATAGTTCCTTTCAAGTGCGATACACTGATTATAATGACCCTCCAACTTTTCGATACCACTTTTGTAGCCCGATTTGTCTTTTGCTTCAAAAGAGGCCTCAGCTTCGGCAATCAGCTCTTCATTCAATGAAAATTTCTGCCTAACGTGCATTCTTTTGAAATCTAAGCGCAGAAGATAGTCGCTGTGGGTCAGATCTGGAGAATATGGTGTATGCGGAAGCAATACGAAGGTCAATTCATGGATTTTTGCCATCGTTTTCACCGTCTTTTCGTTAACCGCTATCCTTTTTCAAGATAATCCATAAAAATTGCTCAACGCGTATGCCAAAATACAGACACCATACATAACCTTGCCAGCCGACTGTTGCATTTTTTTTTCCACGCTTTAGAGCGGGTTCATCATGTGATTGTCGATTGGACTTCAGAGTGAAACGACGGAGCCATGTCTCATCCATTGTCACATAACCACGCAAATACCCGGTTTATTATGCTTCAGCATATCCAAACACTGCCACAAATCATCAAATTGTCGCTGTTTTTAGCCAAAAGTGAGCTAACGTGACAACCACTTTGTACAGAGCTTTCTCATTCAGTTGATATCTTCAGAGTGTCTGCTATCTCGAACAGCTTAACCTTATGATTATCTACAATTATTTTGTGGACTTTTTTTTTTTTTGATGTTTTCGTCGTTAACAAACACTTTTGGGCGTCCACTGTGTTCAACGTCTTTGGTGCTCATTTCTTCTCGAAAAAAAACAAAGGCGTTACGATCGACTAACTCTCTTTTACCGATTAAATAGTATTTGTTCCTCTTCTTAATAAAATTCACAATATATCGGAGAGTATATACTGCTATGAGCAAAAAATAATAAGACTTTGTTCATAATTTTAAAATTCTTAATTAATTTTTGATGATTGATTGAAATTTATATCGTCCTCCTCAAAGTAATCCTTCTTGGTCCCAGTATGCTTGTGCCCAACGTTTTTTCTGTCTGTTTGGCAGCTGTTTGTCTACTCTGTTAATGGCGGCAATATCGAAAATGTTAAAGAAAAAGTGCTTGAAAAACGTCGTCTTGGCATTAGAGAGATATTAAATGATCTCAACATCTTTTGTAGATCGATTAAACACATTTTAATTACTGTTTTGAGTGTGAAGCCTATAAGCCGTACCAAACGACCTGAACCTCCCCCAAACACCACGTGGAGTCTAGATCGCAAAAAAGATTCTAGAAAACACCACATTCATCAAATGCATTATTACTGATGGCAAGACATGGATTTTTGAATGACGCTCAAAAAATGAACTGAAACCACAATATTCTATCAACAATCAAGGTAATGCTCATCGTGTTCTTTGATTCTATTATTCTTTTCAAATGATCAAACGGTCAATATGGAATATCACTTGTCCCTTTTTAGACGACTACGTAAAGCAATCGTCCGCTTTTGGTCAAACACGAAACGAGAGTCAGCGCTTCTCCACTCTATTCGCCAGTTCTGACTCCCTGGAACTGTTCTCTGTTCGATTTCTGTTTTCAAAACTCACTTCAGGAACACAACTTGAGTTCGTTGAAGCCATTAAGCATAAAGGCCATTCCATATGATAAGTTATCAAGTAATCAGATGATAGAAGCTACAACTACATCGAAAAAGTTGGCACCGCGTCCTCTTGGAACGACAACTAAGAAATATTTAAAAATAAAAATTTTGAACCGTTATACCAACATCGTGAATACACCCATTATCACACAGAAGCCACAGACTTTATAGCTTTCTTAAGTTCATTTGATTTGACTAAAGTGTTGCGTTTCAGCGTTAAAATGACGCAAATAAATAGATTACTTTGTGCAATATATGGGTTCCCTGCGAGAAAATGAAATCTTATTATGACATTCCTAAGAAAAATTGTATTGAGCTTGTCCTAACCGATAAATGGTGGCTCTCTCCACATTTAAGTTTCCGCCGAGCTATGACGGAAATGCTTTCGAAAGTCTGATTGCCAAGTTTTGACGGTCAATAAATAAAATGAATTTATTTCAGAACACAGGAATGAATCTAGAACTACACATCTTAATACTTTCCATTTAACCAGTTCGATGTGTCCTCCCTATACCATCAATTCCGACATTGTTCGAATCCTTAGAAACATCGAAAGCTTAAACGGGAAAAATTTGATTAGAACTACACACCAATATCACATTCTCAAGCATTCCGTTCCTAACCTTACACAATTTAACACATTTGATATTGAGCTGACATTGTTAATACTGAAAACCCAAATTCCTACGTGGCTTTTTACCTGCGTACGTACTTCATTCATTTTCTAACAAATCATAGGAACAAGCAAATCATCACTATTAAACATTTATAACGACAGCGTTCTGTTTTCAACACGTATCTCCAACTTGATTAGCCTCTCAAAGATGCACGCGCATCAGGCCTCCCGAGTGAGTTGAATGTCCACGGGCTCTATGAATGCCATTATCTGTCTATATTATCAGCAAACCAGCACTTGAGTGAAGGAAAAACATTATAAATTTGAAAAAATAATCACACGCCTTCACCACCAACGCACTTAAATAGTTCAAGCACGAAGCCACTGTACACATTCGTTACAATGAGTTTTAACGGTAAAGTTGTGATCGTAACAGGTGCCAGTTCTGGCCTTGGTGCCGGCACCGCCGAGGCATTCGCGAAACGTGGTGCTAAAGTTGCGCTTGTCGGACGAAATGTCGAAAATTTGAAATCGACTGAAGCAGCCTGCAAGGCAGCCAATCCCAATGCCGAGTTGCTGCTCATAGCCGCCGATGTCACCATAGATGCGGAGCGCATCATCAACTCAACATTGGAGAAATTCGGCAAATTGGATGTGTTGGTCAATAACGCGGGTATTTTGGCTTACGGCAGCATCTTAGACATAGGCGTAGAGCAATTCGACTCCTTACTCAATACGAATTTACGTTCCATCTTTCTGCTGACCAAATTGGCAGCACCGCATCTCATAAAGACACAAGGCAATATTGTGAATGTCTCGAGTGTCGCTGGTACGCGTACCTTCCCCAATACGTCAAGCTATTGTACCTCCAAGGCGGCGGTTGATCAGTTCACCAGATGCATTGCCTTGGATTTGGCGCCAATGAATGTGCGTGTGAATGCTGTGAATCCTGGTGTTGTGGTAACAGATATTCATGCACGCAGCGGCATGACCGAAGCCGACTATGCGGACTACATGCGCCGTGCTAAGGAGACGCATGCGCTCGGACGTGTAGGTACGCCTAAAGAGGTGGCCGATACCATTGCCTTTTTGGCCAGTGATGAAGCTTCGTTCATCACCGGTGCTACTGTGCCTATCGATGGTGGCAAGCAGGCGATGTGTCCACGTTAAGTGCAATAGGCTAATTGAAATACTCGAAGTAGAATATTTTGTAAATTTATGTGAAATAAAATTATAATAATTTGAGGGTTCGTTACCGTCAATTTTATCACAGTTACCGTTGATGGACTTTCGCTGTAGGTTTTTATGGTTATTGGCAGATAGTTATCCAACCTGTTTAATCCATGGTAAAAACATTGGATCACATTTTAAGTATAAATTGTTTTTAGTTTAACTTAATAAGAATTTCAACTAAAAAGTCAAACCTTCTATCCAAAATGCCTCAATATATGGAAAGGTCTATTCGAAAATGGTTTAATGGATTTATATATTCAATTTGCAAAATATGCCTTCACATTTCCTTATATCATATAAATATATGTTTGTCAAAAAAGTCTTGCGGTATTTTTATTGAATTTTCAATTGTTCATAACATTTTTTTTTTTTTGACAACTCATGCCCAGCTCTTGACCGATGCTACGGCTGCTACTATGCCGGTCTCTTTCGGCCAATTCAGCGATTTTATCACAATTTTCGACGACAGGCCTTCCGGAGCGTGGCGCTTCTTCGACCACCTCTACACCAGAACGAAAACGTTGAAACCATCGTTGGCTCGAGATGCATTTTTGCCTTTATCGTAGTAGGACTGTAAAATATGCCGTATTTTCTCTTTATTTTGCTCCATTTTTGCGACGCTATAACTCACGAACACGACAAACAATCAAACACGTGTTAGCGCGTGAAATGAGCTTTCCAAAAAGGTATAGCATGACCCGATGTGACGAATAAAACTAGAACTACGCGCTCTCAGCGCCAACTAGCGAAAATACCGCAAGCCTTTTTCGACAACCAATATATTGGAGAACATATGAGGTATCTTAATAATAAGACTCCTGGTATCGATAAATAGTCTCGGTCTCAGTTTGATACACCTCAGATAAAAAGTGAGATTAAGTAGATGAACTTATTAGAGGGTGATCCATTTCAAGGTTCACTACTTTTTTAAGAGAAAACACCGAAACTTCAAATTTAAAAGGGACATTCTTTGGCATTTAATTTATGAAGATTATCTCTTTCAAATTTTGGCCCCGATTAAGTTTCAAATGGTTTTCGAGTTGAATCCAATTTCCGATGACTCGTTTGAGTATTTCTTTCTGGTAACTGGCGAACATCAAGCATGATGTTTTGCTTAGACTTTACATATCCTCACAGGAAAAAGTCTAACGGTGTGACATCACACGATCTTAGTGCCCAATCGACCGACCCAAAATGTGAACGTATCTGCTCACCGAAGTGTTCTCTCAATAAATCCATTGATTGATGCGATGTGTGGGAAGTGGCGCGGTTTTGGTGAAACCAAATGTCGCCGAGATCACGAGCTTCAATTTCAGGGTCAATAACAGTTGACAAATTTAACTTTACTCTTCCTTTACTTGAACTCAGATCAACTTTAATTTATTTTTGTTATTTTATCTTTCGTTTCCAATGGGCGCCTCGAGCGCACAATTTCTCAAGGCTATATTTCCGAAATTATTACTCAGACAAAGTTGAAAATTTAGGACAATATGCTAGATGTTTTCGATTTTTTGAAACCCGTAAACCAATATAAACCCTTAAGTATAATCCAATTTTTCATAAACTTGTTATAAGTGTCGGATGAGTTGGCCATCTGTGACTTCGCCGAATTTTGGTACATTTTTTGGAGCAATACTCTTTAGAAAGTTGGACTGTTCTGAGGTCATATTCATAAATCCACGTCTCGTTGCCAATAATAATGATTTAATGTGAATATTTGGTTATTAGGTATGTTCGCAAGCATATCTTATGCAACCTCTAATCGACCTTGTTTTTGCAAAAGTTTTAGGTATCTTGGTTGTGAGCCTAGCATCAAAAAACTTCATACCCAAAACAAAGGTCCATTACTCGATAATGACTTTCTGAATGACACCGTTTTCATGCGCAGCGGTTTGTTACTCTGCAATGATATATATGATAAACTTGCATGCATTGTGGTAGTGACCATACAAATAAATACAGTTGTGTTCATTAAAATAGTAGTGTAACAGCTTTTTATATTTAAAGAGATATTTCCTAACATAATCTGACTTGTCCAGTCAACGAGAGTTGTCTTATTGAGAAATGATAATGAATAATAAAACTAAGGAAACAAGACACAACCTACACGGAATGAAAACAGCAAATCCATCAAGTAGATCACAGCTTTGGCTGGTGATCAAGGAGGCATGAGCTCAAATCAACGCGACTTTTGCGACTGCGCAAATACCGATGGTGGCCCAGCGTTGGCCAAGAGTTCGGTTTGGTGACTCCATGATCTAATCGATCCGGTATGAACTCAAAATGAGTGAGGATTTCCGAGTCTTCAGACAAGTGTACTTTTAGGAACCCAGACTCACTGAGTCTGATGGCAACTTTCGTAGGCATACACCTTCCGACGATGTCTACGGGCAATATCTGCAAGATGGTGTTAAGTGCCATGGTTATAGTGGATCTTAGTGCACCACAAATGCTGATAAGCATTGAATTCGCTCGAGTGTTTTTTTGCAAGTGTGGTCTTTTCTAGAGCCCCTGTACCACATAAATATTCCATAGAACAAAATGGGCTTGACTATGTTGTCGTAGAGCCAGAGGACCACTTTCGTTGAGAGACCCCACATTTTGTCAATGGCTCGTCTACAGCTGTACAAGACAATCGATGCCTTTTTTGCTCTTTCTTCGATTTTCGGCTTCAATGAAAGCTGCCTATCAGGATGAGCTCCAGGTATTTCACTGTATCCGCTCGTTGTAGACGGATGTTTCCCATTTGCGACAGCGGTGGCAGTGGAATATTGTATATTCTGGTGAATAAAATCATCTCGGACTTATTTGGGTTGTTTTCAAGACCGTTTACGACTGCTCAATCACTCGGCAGCCTCTTTTTAGTCCAAGATACAAATTAAGTAAGAAAATAAAACTGTGTGTATACATATGTAGAAATAGCTAAAAATTATTTTTTAAACTCATTGTTTGTATTTTTAACTTGAATTTTCTGTTTCATAGTTAGAACCCAACGGCACTACTATTTCCAAGAACACCGCTGTATGTGGGCATTTTTGCACTTGACGCGAAAATAATTTAAAAATATGATTTTTTTATCTTTTTTACTTTAGCTTCTTTTACGTTAGTTTCTTTATTCGATTAATTTCTTGTTATTTGTATACTTAGACTAGAATATATTTATGTAGGTATATCTAAGTATTATGACATGCACATAGATTTACTACATATTAATTATGTTATTTAATATATTTTAGTTATAATTTTTACTGCATTTTTTAAATATATATTTATATGTATATATGTATTTGTGGTAGAAATAAATTGTTAAGAAGGCTCTAGGTGAGTTTATATGGGGACTAAGGCCTTTCACAAAAGTTTTAATTCTTTCGCAAAACCAAATGTGTTTGTTGTGAACTAATGCTAGAAGAATAATTTTAACTAATTTTTTTTTTTTTTTTTACTTGACTATGATTTGTAAGTTTAAATAAAAATTATTAAAATATTTTTATAACATTTTAAAACAAAAAATAATAATTAATTTGCTAGCCCTTAAGAGGAAATATCAAACTTCTTGCTAGATAATTTGGAGTAGAAGCTCTAAATAAAGTGAAAATAGTTTCTATGACGCTTTAGTTCAAAACTAACTGTACTTCGACTGCAAATCAAAATCTTAAATCAAAAGACTTTAAATATTCGAGAAAATTAAAAGAGCGCTAAAGAGTGGTTTTGCTTATTTGTAAGTTTGTTTGTGTGGGTATTTGGTATGTTTACATAGCATTGTATTTATAAAAGCGCTACTTAGATATTATTTAGTTATCAAATAGTCAGATACACATTAGTTAACATATATATTTATATAAATGTAAGTATGTACGAATAGAGTGATGTTA